TTTCAATAAAACTTACAGCAATGTATCTATCTTTATCATAAGGTTGTCCAAAAAGGATATTATCTCTGACAGTTCCAGAAAATAGCCAAGCTTCTTGACTTGCATAAGAGATCTTCAATGGAATATTATTGTCATGTCCATTGTACTCTTCAAATGGCTTACAATGAAACATCAACTTTCCAGCTCCAAGAGGGAGTTCTTTCAAAAGAAGATGTAAAATCGAAGATTTACCTGAGCCCACTGGACCCACTATACAACACAGTTCTCCACCTTGAATCTTCATAGATATGTTGCACAAAGTTGGTGGCAGTTGGTTAGGAATCCAATTTGCTGACACACGTTCCATTATTATTGTGACTGGCAATTGTTCCTCTTCTTCAACATTGTTCAAATTTATATTTTGTCCTCTATTTGTAATTTTAATAATTTCCACGTTCTCTTTCAATAAATTACTTTTTTTGTTGAATTTTAAGACTTCGTTTTGATGTGATCTCTTCTCGCTTGGATATTCGTCAAGCAATAAAAATTTCTAAAAAAAAAAAAAAGAACAAGTTTTCCTTTTTAGTTTAACAAAAATACGCGATTACATTAAAATAAATAAATGGATTTTTGCAATTAAATTTGAACAACCTCTAATCTTTTAATGGACACCAAAGTTTCTCCGATTAACAAAAGAGCTTGTGGAAACATTAAGGTGGTAGTTAATTGAAGCATCTCGAAATAACAGGCCAACATAAATGTCAATTCTACCCTTACTTGATTTCCCATTAGAACAAACGATGTGAGAGTTGAAAACAGAACTACACGATTTGAAAAGACAACAAGAGCCAGATATACTGCACGAATACATGTTGAATTTTGTATATTTTGGATTTCGGTGGAGCGTATAGCTTTCACGATTTTTTCAAACGGTTTCTCCCAAGCGTACATTTTGATCACCTAATAAGCAACAACAGATATATTATCATTCCTACAAATATATATATATATATATATATATATATATAGTATACAAAAATAGAAAGATTAACTCAATTTAAACATTAATATATGAATTCATATATTTCTATGAATTTTACTACTTTTGTGCTGTTTCATTACCTGTATACCATTTATAAATTCGTTCATAAGCTGCATCCTTTTGTCAATTAATTTAGCAGTAATATTTCTGTATTGATGAGTCAATGGGGAGAATACGGTATATGTTGGAACAGTTAATAACAAAAGGATTGCTATACCGATTATACTTGGAATTCCCACCGCATGCCACAATATTACAAAAATTATGACAAACTAAAAAAACGAATTGGGATCAGAGTTAGAGGAAAATATAAATAATTAAAAATTTTGATTATAGCGAGCGGAAAATTAAAATTACTTGGATAGGGGTGATCCAAATATAATTTAAATAATAGCATATCTCGTCGAATCGTCTGACATCGTTGCTGAGGAGATTTATCACTTGGCCGGAACTAATATGAGTCAAGGCTCCTTTACTAAGTCTTAATATCTACAAATGAATAATTTGTCATAAATTTAAAAACTTAAAAAAAAAAAAGAAACCTTAAATATTATCTTAAGCACAACTTAAAGAATGAGATAACGATAATTACAAACTATGACTCTTTTATGGAAATTAGATCCATGCAAAGTGCATTAGTTGACAAAGTAATAAACTTATTATTGCAACATTAACTGTACTGTGTACGTATACTTTCATATGTATATGTTATCATATGTTAAATATTGAAGGACTTTTACAATTATCGAATATATCATTCTTACTTGAAATTTGCTTATAATACTTTTTTAATAAATATTTTATTTGTTGGAAAAATATTCTAGAAAAATAGTATTATGAATTTTTGAAATCAATAAAAAATAATTTATTCATACTTTTCTATAAATTAACGAGGAGCAAGCGATTCGTATTCTCATGCCAATTTGTTGAGTTAATAAATCCACATGATGCGAGATACACACGATCACTATTATAGACAATAATAAATAGCAGATATAAGTTACAACTTCTAATTTCTCCATCCTCTTAGCATTTTCATCGATTTTAAAATAACTGATGATCCATGATACCAATATAGGATTAATTACCATCAAGATTAAATATTGAATGGACAATAATAAACCTGTATACAAGTATTTTTTCCAAAAGATATGAAATATAACTTTCATTAAACTGGGAGAATCGTTACTTTTGTTTGAGTATTCATCGTGATGCATTTCTTTTTGTTTTTGTTCCCATTTTTGAACTTCTTGATTCCAGCATCTATAACAAGTAGAGAAAAATGCTTTTCTTTTTTGTAAGAATAAAAAATGAAAAAAAATAAAATTGGAAATAGAATTACACGTATTTTTATTATAAGTATTATTATCTGAATATCAAAATTTTTATCAAACTTTTATCAAAGTTTTTAAAATGGATTTTGAAATTTTTGAAACTCATGCTAATACAAAATGCTAATTATATGTTTAAAGATAAGTAATACGACACATTTTAAATATTGTTGCGATACTTACTCTTGTAATCGATCTGTGATCGTTTTAGATTCATCTTGTCTTAAAGGATGATATAAGTCTGATAATGTGAGTCTTCTCTTAGTGCCATGTATAAATACATCTTTTATCCATCTGAAATATTATTTGTATAAAATAAATATTGTAATTAGTGTTATTTAAATAATTTTGCAATTTAATGATTTCTTCATATTCTTAACAGATGTTATTTTTTAAAATTTTATTTAATGACTTAAGAGGAGTTTGAAAAAAATATATATATTATATTAAATAAATATTATCATGATTATTAGCTTAGCAGATACAAATTTTTTACAAATTTAAACATGACATTTTTTTAATCATTTTGTTATAATATATACATAATGGGAAAACAAAAAAATTAAACAATAAATAAAATGAAATAAAATCTAAAAATTAAATTCAATTCAAATTCAAATTTTTTTTTATTTTTACTTTCGATTGAGATGCATTTAAAATTATTTTTTTCTTTACACATAATAACATAAAAATTAAAAAAAGTTTCATACATTACATTCAATTCATATATTATCAAAAAGTAATAGATCGATTGTTCTCTTTCATTTTATTTCAAAATCACTAAATGTAATATTTCCTTCAAATATCTTTATGTAATTTTAATTATTTAATTATCTTTTAACGATAAAATAAAATTTTTGAAAAATTAAAATTAAATAGTAAAAAAAAAAAAGAAAAAATAGTAAATTAAATAAAATAAAAAAAAGAATATTAAACTGCAGAATTACATTATTTACAGAATGATATCAAATATTATTACCCAAAAAATAATCGACTAATTGGATTTGCAGTTTCTTGCGGACATCGTTTAGTGTACGAAAATTTAGTCTCCATTTTCAATAAATATATTTAATATATTCACCGAGCGAATTCTTAACCAACTAACGTTTATAGTATTTTCACTTATATACTTATAATAACTGATAAATCGTGAATAATGAATATTTCAAAAATAAAGAACCTTGAAAAATCATGAACTTGCATATTTTATACATAAAAATTGTTTTGAATGTGCAATAAATAAAATTATATAATAATTTTATAATATATCTCATAGTATTTTTATCATAGGAATATAAAATTTATTTTAAATTTAATATTTTTATGCTATGAAATTTGTAATATACTTTTATAAATTGGTTTGTATACTTGCGCGTATTTTGACCAATCAGCAACATTTTTTTTTGAATACGTAAGCGCGCACAGATATTAACTTAAAAAATTCGATAAAAAGATAAGAAAAAAAAGAGATAAATAGAAAGCGCATTTTTTATCTATCATACTTTGCCCACGTTTTGTTAGCGAAGTTTATTAATAGTATTCGTGCCGAATAGATACCGATATAATTAGATAAAATATAATAGTAGAATTAAATAAAAATTATTACATAATATAATATAAAAATTGTATATTACATAATATAATATAAAAAGTGGACAAACGTTCATATGCTCCTGCGCATATCCATTTAGTGACAATTATAAAAAGGAGGAGAGGAAGGGAATATTAGTACTATATATATATATATATATATATTACTTATTCAGTTTCTTGTCGCACATGATTCATGTATCAAGTAGAAAATCTTCGTATTAAATAATATTGAAATGCAAGTTGATTTTGGTATTGCATTCTTTAATAATATATTTTAATAATATATTTCTTATTAAAATATTTTTTTTTTTCATCATCTTCAAGTTTGTAAAATTGTTACTTGATACATTTGAATCAAATGTTAAAATTATAGTGTATATTTTAAGTTATATATTTTTATTAGTAGGGAATTTATATATATTACTTTTATATTTATATATAAAAGTAGGGAATTTTATTTACAATTCGGTATAGTACAATAAAGATTAATAAACACGTATCTACATATATAAAATATAAAAATATAAATTTCGAAAATAACAAATTACAATGAACACTGTATTATTATTCTTGCAAATATATATTCTTAATACGATCGATTGGACTAATTTGTTAATTATTTATCGAATGTTGTATACGTAATACATTAATCGATATTCGAACTATATTATACAACTTATTAATGTATAATATAATATTATATAATTATATATTTTTCATTTGTACTACATAATAAGATTATAGTATATGTATAATAATAATCTTCTTTATAAAAATGTTATAAATGTAGCTTAATTCTTTATTTATCACTTAACACTTATGTTTTATTTGCATTTTTTAAAACGCAAAAACGCGTATACGTAATATTCCCTACAATGTAAACATATAAAATTCGAAATAAAGAAAATATAAGTACTTTGGTACTCGTTATAAGTGCCAGTACGCCGCACAGCAGCATTTTTGTATTACAATATTTATGTATTACAATAAAATTCTTGAAATACATTTCAATAATTTGCGTATATAGAAATACAAAAATATATATGTATATACTATCTCGAATATTTTTTATGTTTGGTATTGTTATATTTGGAAATATATTATAAAAAAATATAACTTTTAAATTGCACAATATTATCACTAAATAATTTCTATTTATTTTGTCTATATGTTTTTTTTTTTTTTT